GTCTCCCATGGGGTGCAGGGCCCAAGAACCTGGGCCATTCTCCACTGCACTCCCAGACCATAGCAGAGAGCTGGCCTGGAAGAGGGGCAACCGGGACAGAATCCGGCGCCCCGACCGGGACTAGAACCCGGTGTGCCGGCGCCGCAAGGCGGAGGATTAGCCTAGTGAGCCGCGGTGCGGGCCTGCAGCTCTTCCTAATGGTCCAGGTATGCACTGGCTGGAGCAGGCCTGGAGCATGTCTCAGATCCAGCCTAGCTTCTTTCAGCTGCATCAGCTTGAATTGATGTTCATTCAGTGTATTTCTCTCCCTGTCGCTACAACTTTTCCCGAGATTTTTTAAATTTGACTTTGGAGAAAGAATAGATGAAGAAATCACAAACCCTTATTAGACGAATGCTTAGTAATCAGGAAAAAAAAAATTGCCTCATCACTATCTTCATTCCCCCCCACCCCTGGCGGGCGTGATTGCTACTTCATCACTAGCCTGGCTGGCCAGCTCCCTAATTAAATGGTTAGCTCCATTCGCTGCAGCCCTTCCGATAACAGGCAGAGCAGTAAACAATAGAAGGTGACTTTTGAAAAGTAATTGTAGCTAATTAATCACAATCACACACAGAGTTTTAAGTGCACTTCACAGGGAATACATTGAGTTAGAATATTGTTGCTGGAATTGCTAACAGTACAGATCAGAGCACTAGACTTTGTCTTTCCCATAATAAGGCCCTTCTCTATCCTGAGGACCTGACTTGCTTGCTTGCCCTCTCCATTCCTGTATGTTCAATTCCAGTTATAACAAGCATACATAGCCTCACAAATCCATTTGTAGGTTGTGCCGAAGCTTCTATATTAGTTCTTATATTTGTAAATTGCAATTGCATTGTTGTGCCTGGAAGTTGTGGAGAAAGGCGAAGCTCATGCATTCATTTTATTTTCATTGCTTAGCAATGAAATTAGTTACTTTAGATAAGGTAGTCCAGCCTGGTGGAAAGAGAATTTCATTGGAAATCTGAAGATTTGGCTTAGAGTGGTAGCCCTGAGTTAGGAAGATTTGGTTACTACCTGTTTCCCAAATGCATTACAGTTTGATTGATGGTTGCTGTTTCCACAGTATATTTTTTTTCTTATTTATTTACACTTAAAAATTTATGTATTTGGAAGGCAAAGTGACAGAGAAAGGAAAAGATGGACATAGAAAGGTATCTTCCATTCACCGATTCACTTCTGCCACGGCCAGGGCTGGAGCAGGCCAAAGTCAGCAGCCAGGAAGTCCCCTGGTCCCAGATATTTGAGACATTTTCTGCTGCTCTCCCAGGTGCATTAATGGAGAGCTGGATCAGAAGCGGAGCAGCCTGGATTTCAGCCAGCATTCCTAAAAGGGATGGCAGCATCTGAGGTGTTGCTTAAATTGCTGTAGCACCACAAGGGCCCAAGTTTAGCTACGTGATATTTAGAAAATACCACCTCTCCAACCCAAGCACAAAGAGTTTGTTGTTTTTCTCAATCCCTGTACTCAAAGCTTGCTAAGTTCAATATCATCAATGAATTTTCTGTGGGTTTCATACTTTGCTCATAAAGACTGACCCTCCCTTCTAGCTTGTAAATTTATTCACCCATGTTTTCTGGTATTTTATCAGTTTGTGCTTTGTGTGTAAGCATTTGATTATTTGAAATATTTTTGTAAGGATCAAAGCAGAAATGTAGTATTTTGGGTGGTGGAGGCTATTGGTCAGTTGATTCTGATACAGTGTTTAGAACAATTTTAGCAGAATCTAACATTATATGATATCACTTAGATAAATACTTTGGTGATCTATCAGTCAATGATGAATGTGGGTTAAATTACTTCAGAATCTTTAACTATGCTATTATAATTAAAACTATTCCCTTGACACTTTAATAGCTGTGAATGTATATGTTTGGTTGACAACTTCGTTGATCTTATATTTTCAAGTTGAATTTTTCCCTGATGATATAAAACACTACCTTTCTAATCACTTAGTCTGCCTAATTTAAAATCATTTCTGTTGATTTTTTCTTTTTAAAATTTGCATTTGTCTGACGTATCTTTACCTTTCTTTCTTAAATTTTATGGAATTTTTAAGGGCTTTGTAAAAAGAATACGTTCGCTAACTCTCAGAGTGTTATTTTCTGTTTGACAGGTATTAGGGCACTTTGCATACATTAGGTGACCTAGTTTGTGCATTCATTTATTATAATCAGTACAACAACTCCATAAAGCTATTCTTTCCCCTACTTCTCTGAGGAGAAAGATGGATATTAGGTAGATGAAACAAATGGTCCAGAATCACACACCTATATATATTTTTTAAGATTTTATTTATATATTTGAGAGGTAGAATTACCGACAGTGAGAGGGAGAGACAGAGGAAGGTCTTCCCTCTGTTGGTTCACTCCCCAGATGGCCACACTGGCTGGAGCTGTGCCAATCTGAAGCCAGGAGCCAGGAGCTTCTTCTAGGTCTCTCACGTGGGTGCAGGGGCCCAAGGACTTGGGCCATTCTCCACTGCTTTCCCAGGCCACAGCAGAGAGCTTGATTGGAAGAGGGGCAGCTGGGACCAGAACTGGTGCCCATATGGGGTTAACCCACTGCGCCAAGGAGCTGGTCCCCTAAAAATTGTTTTTATTTTATAAATTTGCTAAAATAATTGTGTATATATTTTCATTTATTTTTATATTTCTTTTTTCGTTTGTTTTTTGCTTGTTTGGTTGTTTTTTGACAGACAGAGTTAGACAGTGAGAGAGAGAGACAGAGCGAAAGGTCTTCCTTCCATTGGTTCATCCCCAGAATGGCTGCCACGGCCAGAGCTACGCCGATCCGAAGCCAGGAGCCAGGTGCTTCCTCCTGGTCTCCCATGCAGGTGCAGGGCCCAAACACTTGGGCCATCCTCCACTGCCTTTCCCGGCCACAGCAGAGAGCTGGACTAGAAGATGAACGACTGGGACAGAATCAAGGACCTCAACCGGGACTACACAACCCAGTGTGCTGGCGCCTCAGGTGGAGGATTAGCCTAGTGAGCCGTGGCACTGGCCTTTTTATATTTCTCATGTAGCTTTTTATACTGTATTTTCTTTATGGAATATATTTTGTTTTTATCTTCTTAATTTTAGAAAATATATATTAGAAAATATATATATTTAGAAAATATATATTCTTTTAAAATTTTTGAGCAGTATCATGTTACATCAAATTTACCATCTTAACCAATTTTAAAGGTACAGTATGACAGTGTTAGATGCCTACAACTTTTTCATCTTATAAACTGAAACTATGAATTATACACTCCCTTCCCCCTTCACAAAGAAGCTGTATATTGTATTTTAGGAGATCTTTCATTCACTTGTTGACAATTTAATGTCTGCCACAACCAGGGCTGGGCCAGGGTGAAGCCAGGAGCCAGGAATTCCACCAGGGCCTCCCACATGGGTTGCAATAACCCAGGTATTTGAGCTATTGTCTGTTTCCTTCCCAGGTTCATTAGGAGGACGCTAGATTGGAAGCAGAGGAGCCAGGAGTGAAACCAGCATTCTGACATGGGATGTGGGCATCCCAAGCTGTGACTTAACCTGCTGCATCACAATACTTGCCATAAGAAAATACATATTCTTAAGAGTTTCAGGAAAATCCTATGATTGATTCTTCAATTATTTGTATCAAGAACGTCTCTGAAGTCTACCTGTTGAAATTTGAGATGCCAGGGCAGGTGTCTGGTGTAGTGATCAGGATGCTGCTTGGTGACCCTGTATTAGACGCCTGGGCTCAAGACCTGAATCCACTCCAGCTAATTCAGACCTTAGGAGGTATCAAGTGGTATCGCAAGTACATGGGTCCCTGTCACCTGTGTGGTAGACCTGGATTAAGTTCCCACCTACTGGCTTCAGCCTGGCCCAATCCTGGCTGTCACAGGTATTTGGGCAGTGAACTAGAAGATGGGAATGCTGCCTCCCCCACCCCTTTCTCTTTCTTCAATAAATAAAGTAAATAAATCATTTTTGAAAATAAATTGTAATGCAGGATAGATTTTCTTCTTTCCCTTAGCTCCAAGTGTTCCTAAATATACTTTAGTTTTTATCCCCAATCATTACATAATTGGTTTTGTCCTATGTATCTTTAATGTTTAGCTTACATTTTTTCAGCTGCTTAACCACACATGTAAGATTGTCTTCGAGCTATCTCTTCATTTAAGTGTGTTGAGTTCATTTCAAAATCATTTCTGTGGCTTTCCTGTGATTTATCTCATTGCTTCAGTCTACCTTTGCTGATTAGAATGTGTATTCATGAATTTTTTTCTTTAGGCTGCAGGCATTCTGAATGTGCTTTTAGAGTCCTTGAATACGTAAGACTTTCTTTTTATTGTCCTAATGTTTCCCAGTAAGATGTTAGTATATGTTACTTTTTCTAGCAAATTAAGAGTTAGAAGAATTTCTTAATTATTAATTTAAGAGATTATATCACCTATTTTGTTTTTAATTTTTGAAGTTTATTTCTACATTAAGAATTAAATGTTTATTCTACAATTTTAGTCTGCTTGTTGCAGCTATTGCCTACTTTGTCTCCAGTTCTCACTTTTTACAGATGTGCAAGAGCATGAGGACAGATATGGTTCGAGTGTGATCAGCTAGTATAACCCAACCCTTTCCGATTCCATATATTAGCGAAACTCATTGAACATGTACTTCTATGTATATATAATCAATTCTAAATGTAATATTATTAATTCACATATTAAATATTTATAAAGTCCAAACTCTTTCCAAATGTTTTTAGAATGTTCTGAGATTTTCTTTCTGACTTCAAAATTGATATCTGTGCTTTGGTTGAGTGTCCCTTGCATTAGGCTATTCCTACAAATCACCTCTGGCTTGTTTACCATTGTAACCTCACTACCTTCCCCTTTGCAGGTGCTCAGTAAGTGTTTAGGGACTGAGTGGTCTCATAATGACTCATAAACTTGCTAGGTTTATAAATGCTGAGGCAGGTATCCAGTGGGAGTTATTCATTTGTTAAACATCCATTCATCAGTAGTTCTACATCAGTAGAACTGCAGTGCTGTTTTCTTTCTTGTCCTTCAAAAAATTTAAAATAGTACTGGTGGAGTCCAAAGCTCCATGGCTTCCTGTGGGAACTGTCAGGGAGAAGAGAGGTGAGAGGGAGGGAGAGAGACATGTATTTCCATCCTATATTTCCAAGCAAATTGATCTCAGCTTAAATCTATGGTCTATGTTCCCACAAACATAAACAAATGACACAGGAAAACAGAGATAAAATTTAAAAGTCTTATTTCTGTACATAAGATAACTAATCTTATCTCTAAGTGGATTTACATATACAGTGAGATAGTCATTTTCTTTTGTGTTCTGGCAGAAAACAGGCCTCTAAATGTGAACATAATTAGTATATATATGGATATTCACATAATATAGAATGACATGTTTTAAATTTTCATGAAGTTAAGTCATAAATCGTATTGAAAGCTTTCATTGATATTAGATGCATATGATTAATGTTTACATTATTAAAATTGATATTTTATGTTTTATCTTAAATTGTCATGAGGATTGTAAACCCCACAGGCTTGGATAAAGGGTTGAAACAGGACTCTCTATTTCCAGGGAAATGTTAGCTGCCTTATCTATCTTGGAGCACAGCGTGCTATGACAAATGTGGTCAATTTTGATACTGCAGAGTTATTGAAGCATCCACAAGATGGCAGCTCTGGAGTCTTGGGTGATTTATTCACTAGCACATGGCAAATGTGCTCACTAAGCATTATTCTAAGCACTGATAGACCAAATTGATTGCAACAATTAAAATGAACAGATTTTTTTAAAAAATTGGTTGGCTGCATTGTGCCTGTAACAATCTGCCCCACAACACTCCAGATTAGTTACTAAATCTGCAGCTAGCTGATGCTATTACACTTTTCTTAGTTACTTAAAAATGACTTGTTGCCTTTATTTGCATAACTCATAAATAGAGCTATGATGCAACAAGATTGCTTTCCTACAAAATATCTAAAAAGCCACTCTTTGTAGTCTCATCTATAAAGTTAGTTGTCTCATGTACAGATGAGAAATATTGCCTTTCTTCAGAGATTTTTGCATAGTTCATGAATTAACATTTGGTTCAACCCTATAGAAACATTAAGAATATTTAGATAAACTGTTTCCTAGATTTATCAGTAATTAACCTTATCACTGTCTCTATATATGTACATACATAATTTTATATATGTATGACAGACTGAGAATTTTCTGTTAAACAATTTAAGGACATCATGATATAGCATCAAAATATTGCAGGCTATATCTTCTAAGAATAAAACATTCCTGTTCTTAAGCAAAATGCCATTAATATCTAATTTAAATATTAGGTATTTTATGTTCAAGTTTCAATTGTCCTGAGACCATTTTATAGACAAAATCCCATAAAGTTTACATACTGCCCTTGCTTACATTGTTTCAAAATCCCAGTTAATCTAGATGGTTCTCCTTCTACCTTTTTTGTTTTTCAGAATATTGGTATTTTAGAACTTCATTGTACCATGTTGCATATTCTGTGCATATCTGACTGTTTTCTTATGCTTGAATTTGGGTAAAGTATTTTTGGAAAATGTTTCATAGGAGATGTTAACATACAGTTCTTTATGCAGCAATAAGGAATTCTAGAATTTTAGATTGTTCTACAATCAATGATATTCTATTCTCTTGGCTAAGTTGGTGACTTGTAGAACTCTCTATTATAAAAACACACGTCTCCTTTGTAATTAATAGTCCATGTCTTTGAGACTTGATGTATATCTGGCTTACAAAAGCATTTACTCATTAGTTTTAGTATCCATTGGTCATTCTTAGAAATAATTTTTGTGGAGTAAAAAATCAAAATATGTATCCAGGTGTTTATTCCACAAATATTTACTGAATACTTTTTATGTGTGAAGTTTTGTGCTAACTGGTGATATAATGACCTGAAAAACATAAAGTCTACTGGATAAACAACTTGGCACAGGTTTTACTAAATTTTATAAATTTTAGTAAGAGCCAGAAGGCAAGAAAACATAATGTTGTGATAGGAAATAACAGTATGTCAGTAAATTTAAGCAGAGTGGCCAGAGGAACTTTCTTATGAAGGTGATATTTAGAGTCCTAAAAATGCTGTGTAGCAAGCAGTGTAGGGCAGAGAGAGTTAAGTGTTCTGGTATAGAGTTAAGGTAGAGGTTAGAACAATCTAGATAATTTTTAAAAATCATTTTGCCTGCAATGTTGAGAAACAATATTTATTTATTTGAAGGGTGGTGTGATAGAGAGAGGAGAGCAGAGGGAGAAAGAGATCTGGGTCACTCTCCAAATTGCCACAGTAGCCAGTGATGGACAATGCTGAAGCCAGAAGCCTGGTACTCCAGTCAGGTATCCCTGGTGAGAGGCAGAAGCCCAAATACTTGGGCCATCTTCTGCGATTCCCCAGGCATCTAAGCAGTGATTGGCAGTGGAGCACAAAAATCAAAAAATAGGGAACCGTATTTAAAGGAGCCAGCTGCAAACCTGAACCAGATTTGGTTTACTTTTTAACTTATTTTCTGTTCAAAATTTGAACTCTGGAAGTGTCTCCAAGTGTGTCACTGTTTATGAGCATTGAACTTCTTGTTTAAAGCACACTCCCTTGATCTTGCTTTTCCCCACCATGGACAGTGCACCTTATTCTTGTACTGAGCCTTTCTACCTCAAGCCCATCTCTGGCTTTGAACCATCTCAGCAGGTGATCTCTGGCCCGGCATTCAGACAGGTTAATGCACATTTTGTTTTTATGGTCCTCGAAAGACACACTTAATGACCCTAGATTTATCATAATCCATACATCAGTAATCAATAAATGCTCATAATTCTAGCAAAGTAGACATTTTCTTTTTTATCGGGGAACTGGAGTCTCAACCTCATGTTTTGGGATGCCCGTGAGCGGTGGCACTTCTCTACCATCACACAGCAGATTCAGTGTTTACCCTCACCTATGAGCTATTTACTTTCAAAATTGGGGAAATGGTAGGTGATAGAGTTACAAATTGTTGTCTAAGGTTTAAAAAAAATCACTTCCCAACTCCCTGCCCTGGTACCGGTAAGCTTACCCTGAGGACACTTGTTTAAAAATTAATGTATTCCATAACAGAAATATCAAACAGCTCCTTCTGGGAGAGAAACACCACTTATTTTCATTTTTTCAAGACTTATCTATGGTGCATTCCCCATTCTCCCCCAACCCAGATCCCCTGTTCCTTTCCAACAAAACCAAGGATTCATCAAAGCTGCCGCTTGAGCCTTCTTCAGCTCTTCCAATGCAAATCTCAGGTGCAGTGTGTTGTACTTTCAGGAAAAGCTTTGTAGTATGTGTAATGAGAACATTTCCTGGCTCTGAAGCAAAATGCGTGGCAATATGCCTACTTTTCCTATAGCCTTGACATCACAAAAGAGGAAGTGGTAGGTGTCAACCTATAGAAATGAAATGGTAACCCTCAAAAATTTGCATGCAGGAGATGCGATTTGAGCTGATTATTTTCTAAATTAGGAAATATTACTTTTTTCAGCTTTATAGTTTTCTTTTTTTGAAGTTCCTTCTCACAAAACCAGCTCCAGAGCAAGATATGTAAAATCAGAGTCAGAATGAAGGTGATAAGAAAAGATTCTAAACACACGTCCCCTTTTCTTGGCATTCTATTTGAAACACAGGGTAATAAGGACATATGATTTTGTTCTTGGAGTTCCAGACCACTTGCATTTTAGAAGCTCTGCCAATATAATTTCTTACTTTTCTTTTTTGTTTCTATAAATGGGGGGAAATGATTGTTCCAGAGATACACTAAATTTGGGTCGTGTTAGCGTGTAGAGAAAAATGGGAAGTTCAGAGCTGGCTCACAGCAGAATTATCAATTCAGTGAAGTATGTCTTCTGAAATGCAAACTTCACCCAGGTAGGCTCTCTGAAATGACCTTGGATACTGCCTTTAGGACTCTTCATTGTCCCTGAACCTACATTCCTTACCCCTCTTTTCTCAGCAAGCTGTGGTAGTCTTCATTAAATTTCCTTAACAATCCTTTAAGAGATTAAGGTAAGACTACAGATGTGGGTGAGATAGCACAAACTTTGTCATGCAGATGGGTAAGTTAAACTTTTCTGGGAATTAATATTCTTTAAAGTTGCTGAAGCATCATGGGGGAGGAGATTTCTGACCTAATTGCAGGTGGGAAGTGGAAGCATGGTTAGGGAGTTAGGAGCCAGAGGGGTGGGATATGACTCTAACATTCTTAAGTAAAGAACCTGTAAAGCACCTAGCATGGGCTGCCTACTCATTCAAACTTCAATGCATATCAACTGCTAGGCTTTTTATAATTATCCGATGGAAGTCAAAGATTTTAATACTTCCAAGTTCAAGTTGGAGTTTAAGAGTGAGAAAGGGGATAGAAAGCACTCACAAATCATGGAATTTCTCCCATGTGCCAGAGAATATTCTACAGCATTTACAAAAATGGCCAAATTAGTCTCCTACAACCCTGTGATATAATTAATGCCATTTCATAAATATGGTAATTGACTGATAGAGATTAGTACATAGCAATGTTTTCATGTCTAAATCAAGGAAAACTGCGGATTATGGACTACTTCTTTTGACTTCATATTGCCACTTCCTGGGCCTCGCTGCTAACTTTAAGTCACACCAAAATCAATAGAATGAACTGCTGTCTGCGGAGGAGTGATTAGTCTCAGGGTCATCTTCCAGTGTTTGCGAATGGCTGATGATAATGGCAATCAAACGTACACCGAGGGGTACGTTTGAGTCAACAGGCATTGTTGAGAATATGTTACCTGCTGGCAGAATGGCACGCTCATCAGCCTTTACGGTGTTTGACTGAATCAGAACAAAGCTATTTTGATCCTCAGAGATGTGCTGATCTTTCCCCATCCCCACCCCCAGTTCCAGTCCTTGATTACTGGCACATGAGCTGAAGCCTGCTCCACAGGCTTTCTTCACACCTGCACTACTACCTTGTACTTCTGGGTAAACTCTTTTATGCCATTTTCCGCATTTGTTTTCTATCCTCTGGAACAGGGACTCCAAATCTGCATATCATGTGCCCGTATAATAAAACTGGGGTCAGCATTGTGGCATACCTGGTAAAGTCACTGCCTGCAATGCCAGCAACCCATAGGGATGTTCCATTTCCAACCCAGCTCCCTGCTGATGGCCTGGTAAAGGAGCAGAAGGTCGCCCAAGTGCTGGGGCCCCTCCAACTCAAGTTGGAGACCTGGATGTAGCTGCTGGCTCCTGGCTTCAGGTTGGCCGAGCCCTGGCTATCTGAGAAGGGAACCAGCAGATGGAGACATCTCTGTCACATCCTCTCTTTCTCTCTCTGTAACTCTTGACTTTCAAATAAATAACAATAATAAATAAACACATAAAAATCCTATTTTATGTGTTCTCCCAAGATGCTGGCCCTTACTCTTTTTCATGTGAATTAGACGTGCTTCTTAACTTTTCCTTCTGGAAAAGAATCTATTCTAATGCAATGATTTTGATAAAGTCCACTTCTCTGTTATGTGCTTATTGAAACAAACACATGGATCTCCCTTACCTGTAATATAAATATCTTATCTCTGTGCAGCATATAAATGCCCAATGAAGGGCTCTCAGTAGCTAACAAATACTTATCAAGCAACTATGTGGTATGATATTTTAAATAAATAATAGTAATAAAAAGATCAGATTTCTGGTGTTCATGGCATTTACATTTTATGAAAATAATAATTTAAAAATGGAAATGAAGGTAATATATATTTTCTTGCAAGTGCAGAGAAGAATAGCTAAGGAATGAAATTAAATAGAATTTTCATATAGTAATAAATTAGGTGCATTATAAAATATAAGGTTACTTCCTAAAGTTCTTGGAAAAGTTAAATTAAAAGATAAATTTATTTTGGTGCAAAAATCTTTTGAAATCCATATATTTTTTTCTTTTTATAAAAAGTTATTCATTCATTTGAAAGGCAGAGTTGCATGGTGAGGGAGAAAACAGAGAAAGAGAGAGACAGAGAGAGAGAGAGAGAAAGGGAGAATGGAGAGATCTTCTATCTACAGGTTTACTTCTCAAATGGCTGTAACGGCCAGGGTTGGGCCTGACTGAAACTGGGAGCCTGGAACTCCATCTGGGTCTCCCTTGTTGGTTGCAAGGCCCCAAGCACCTGCGCTGTTTTCTGGTGCTTTTCCACACGAAGTAGAGCATCTGGGACTTGAACCAGCAGCCACATAGGATACCAGTAATCACATGGGATTCCAGCATTGCCGGTAGTGGATTAACCTGCTGCACCACAATGTTAGCCCACATATTTTTTCATAACACACATTCTCTACAAACTTTTAAGGGAATGTTTATCTATATAAAATACAAATAACAGCATTTGGTAAAAATAAATATGAAGAAAAGTGTGTCTCCATATGATCCTCTGTGGATGATGATCTTGTACATCTCATGGACCATGGCTACACCATACAGTAGAACTTTGCCATCCATGGAATCATAACCACTAGCCACATGTGGCTA